AATTGTGTTACTAAGTCAGTAGCTTGCTTTGCCATCATCTCTAGTTTATTTCTGAGGCAGGGTCTGTAGGTCTCACCAGATTACCTGGTGCTCCCTATCTCAGAGGCTCTAATAACTATTATTCCCACCCTGTTCCTGCAAACCATTTCTGCATCTAAGAGAAAGAATAGTTAGGAAGTTCTTTCCTTCTGTATACACCAAGGGTTGCAGAGTAAAAAGACAGGCTTAATCAGATAAACTGAGTTGTAAGATGGGCCCTCTCTGTTCTGACTCTATGAAAATATGCAAGTTATTTTATTTATTTTAGCCCCAATGTCTTAATCAGTAAAATGTGACAAATAGTTCTTGCCTCTAAGGTGGTTGTGAAGATTAAATAAGATAATGTGTGTGCCTAGCATAGGTCTGACCATATAAGCATTCAAAAATCTCAGATTTCAGCTGAGTGTGGTGGTGTACACTTGTAATCTTAGCACTTCAGAGGCTGAGAGGCAGGAAGATAATGAGTTTGAGGCCAGGCTGGGTTACATAAGAAGACCCTGTCTCAAAAACCAAACCAAACAACAAAAGTCCTGCGTCTTTCCTTGCTGCTGTTACTGCGTCCTCTGCAGCATTAATTGCTGTGTGTGTTCCCTTCTCACCTCCATCTCTGTGGTGGTGTCCAGGCCGTGGACCCCAGGGAAGATGTGTGAGGTTAGCCTATTGCATTAATACTCACCTTCAGAAAACCTTTGGCTCTATCAGAATTCCTTTGCTATAGTTTAATTTTTTTCAAATATTCACAAAGCATCTTTAATTTCCTTGCCTATAATATTTTCTTTCTCATTATTGCCTTCCTGTATTAGTTTACCAGAATTGGCATAACAAATTATTCAAAGTGGTTGACTAAAACAACAGACATTTATTGTCTCACAGTTTTGGAAGTCAGAAGTTTAAAATCAAGGTCTGGGCAGACCCCATTCCCTGCCTGGCTCTGAGGGAAGATCCTTCTTTTTCAGAGTCTGGTGGCAGCCCGTGCTGGGTTTGTGGGTGCCTCTGCTCACTGTGGTGAGCCTTGTCCTCTCTCTCCTGCTCCCTCTCCTGTTTGTCTATGCCCAAATTTCCCCCTCTGAAAAGACACCAGCCTTTGTATTAGGGTCCACCTAATCCTGAGTGACTCCATTCTAACCTGATTACATCCACAAAGATGGCAGTCTCAAAATAAAAGCATATTCACAGGTTCTGCAGGGGCTAGGACTTCAACACCTGTCTTTTGAGGAACACAGTCTACCCCAAACCCTTCTTGACTGGCCCTTAAGGCTTACTGTAAGTCTGAGCTTTAGAGTGGACAATGTAAAATCACATTACTTCATGCAGTTTTTCTCTTGTTCTTGGGTTAATAATTGGCTTTCACTCTGTTTTCAAAGACATGTTTTGAGGTGTCTTGCTGGAGGTACAGTCTATATTGACTTTTTTATTTTTGTAAAGTGAAAAAAGAAATTCTGTGTAGGAAGAAACATATCATACTGCTAGGGAAAATACTTTAAAAGTATGCAGAGACACAAGAGTTAAAAGGGCAGCAGCTCCTGGGAGTGTGTTTACAAAGGTTTATGACTTGTGTGAATTGGCATTCAAGTTTTATATAGTCCTGGAGTGATCCAGCTGAGACTGCTGGATTGGATGAGGCAGAGCTCTTCTGCATGGCCATGTACGGCCCTGGTTACACCCTTTTAAAGGCAAGACTCTAGAACATGGACGTGGTCAACTGCCTGTTCCTCCAGTGTGTGTGTGGGCCGCCCCTGCCCATGTCCAAGTCCGAGGTAGGTCCCCAGTTTGGGGGAAGGTTGATTGGTGGTGCGTGTGTTTGTGTCCACAGCCAATGAACCTGGGCCATATCTTGGAAGTACATAGACTTTCCTTAAAAAAAAAGGCTTAGTTGAGACTATTCCCCAGGGTTCACATTTGTTTTTATAAGGGATTTAACTCTCTTCTTCTGACTGAGAACTAATGTTTGATTGTGGGCTGAAATCCAAGGGGTTTTCCCCCCATCCTGTGTTCTGTACTGGGAATGAAATTGATGTTTTAATTTTCTGTGTTATCTGCTTAGCAAACTTTTGCAATTCCTAGAATGTTTGGTGCCCTTTGGAGACAGTGTTTTCTCTGTGTATAACTTCCGTGGCACTGTATAGTCCCAAGGCTAGTCGCAGTTGGATTTTATCTGTGATCACTCCCTGTGTGGGACAGAGCTGACACAGAGGAGTGACAAGTGAAGGAACAGTCTCTACCATCCCCACCTTGTGGTGCCTGTCTTGGGCACCTTTACCCAGCCCTGTTTGTTTTCTGGAGTATTTCCTTATTTTCCCTCAGTAAGGAAAAACAGGCTATGTGTTACGTAAGGGCAAAAACAAAACAAACTAAATCCCCCAGTCATAAGGGGGGGGAACCCCCAAAACTACCTGTGCATCTGTGAGTAGTTAAGACTATTCCTTGCCTTTGATTTTCTTGGACTCATATTTTATAGCAAGTTTCTGAACCTTTTCTTCGAAGCATCGTAATATAAATGGATTTATTTTACTGTGTACTTAAGACGATTTACTTTATTTCAACCATCCATAATAATCTGTTTTTCATATATAACTTGGAACATGATTGTAACTTTTTATGATTTCTTTCATTTTCCCATGGTGGTGTTGGGCAGGAAAACTTTTCATCTCCTCTCATTGGTAGAGTCCCTGGGGTGATTTGTGATAAATTAGTGAAAGCAAAGACAAGTGTTTATTCTTATGTGTTGGGAGTTCTCTGGAAAGTCTGACTCCAGCAGGTGATTAGCATTTGGGGGTTTATGCCACCTGAAAGGGAAAAAGAGAAGGGGAGAAGGGCACTTACGGAAAGAGAAATGTGCCCATAGAGAATAAATGGAAGAAAATAGTTTTGTGACAATATCTGTGTAGGCCTGGATTTTTTATTTCCTGGTTGCAAGAAAGTCACAGGGTGGCATTTATGGCAATGGAATTCTTTTGGTAGACTCTTTTCAGCAGGTGACAGAGTTGGGGGCAGGGGTAGGGAATCTGTTATCAGTGCCTTGGACTGTAGTGATTCTTACACCACAGTATGTCAGTGGTGACTGGAGTTAAAGGCACCCTCCAGGCAGGAAGAGCCAATGGGGGCAGGGCAGGTGAGGAGTGATGGGTAGCTGCTGGAATAGAAGTTCTGAGGCCCACCTGGGAGCATCTTTGTGGCCACTAATGGGCTGTGTGGCCCTGGGTCAGCCACTTATTCAGGGCTCCATGAGGAGGTTGAAGTAAGTATCTGTAAGTCCCTTCCTGCTTCTTTGGCTGTTTATCAGAATTTTCATGGTTGATGAGCCATGGTTATTTATGGGTACAATAGTGTAATTTGATACACATGTATTGTATAATGACTAAATCAGGGGAATTAAGTATTTACATTGCCACTTTTTTTTTTTTTTTTTTGAGATGGGGTCTTGCTGTGTTGTCCAGGCTGGCCTCAAACTCCTGTATGATGTTGTACACATCAGACTGAAAATTAGCAGGCCTGCATTCCAGGTCACCGTGTTACTAGCAAGAGGCCTGTCTTCTCTGGCCCACCACCATTTAGCTTTCTACAGGCCCTCCCAGTGTTGGGGCAGGTGGGCTGGGGCCTCCTCATTCATTCTCTGGCTGCCTGCCTTCAGGTGCACCCATTGCCTGCCCTGCTGTCACCTGCTTCTTATACAGGCATCTCCACCTTCTTGTTGTCTGGTTGTTCTCGTTGTCTTCCCTGTACCTGTGGCCTGACAGCCTTTCATGTTTTTATTTTTAAAGAATGTATAAGGACAAGCCATACATGGTGGCACGTGCCTGTAATCTCAGCACTGGGGAGGCCTGGGCTATGTAAGCCAGCCTTCACACATGCACATGTAAACACACACATAGATACACATGCACACACGTACACACATACACACACACGCACATGTGTATACAGGGGTGGAAGAACTGAAGACATTCAGGCCTGGCCTGCAGGCCAGCCCTCCTGCCTGGTCTCAGGATCAGCCTTCCTGGTGGCCAGACCTCTAGGATCTGTTGAGATAAGAGTCTTACCTGTCTCTGGGCAGGAGCAAACCCTGGGGGTGGTTCTGTCTGCTGAAGATTGCATTTCATCTTTGAGGATCTTTCCAGGATTGTGAACAGCCCTGGAACCAAATTGGAGAAGCTAAGTCCCTTGTCTGAGGTTGTGAGGCCAGCTCGTGGTCCAGACAGTGGCTGACACAGAAGTGTGCTCAATTCCAAACTGAAATGTTTTTCTGGTCTATTGCTTTGCCTTTGAAAAAAATTGCAGCTGGCCTCTAACCTGCTATCTAGCCCAGGCTGACCTCAAACTCTAGATCCTCCTGCCTCTGCCTTCCTAGTGAGTGCTGGGATTACAGGTGTGTAGCTACCATGTCTGACTGAGGGTCATAAAATCTTGAGCTGTGAGATTTGTCCAGTCCAAAATCTGAGATCCAGGGCTGGGGATATAGTTGTGAGATGTCCACGCCCACACAGCTAGTTGCTAGCCTGATCTAGCTCAGGATTCTCTCCCATCACACTGTTGCCCCAAGGCTGCAGTGAGCAACAGAACCCCAGTGTTAAACCCCACAGCCCTGTACATAATCTTAAAGCACCTTCTGTTTTGAAATAAGGCCCATTATTGCATTCCACATAGCTTTCTTCTACTGGCAGGTCAATTCCACCACTACCATATTGCATGTTTGGGAAACACATACCTAGTTTTAAGTGCATTTTGTCAACTCACCCTGCTACTGGCTTTCTTAATGTCTCATATTATGGGCATGATTAGTCCTGGAGTGAAAGATGGGTTTAGTTCTTTTGCTTTAGTTGTGTCCTCACTGTGTCACACAGGTAATAATTGTTTTAAGTAAACCAATGAAAAGAGACTGAGGTGGGGGAGGAGGGGACACAGACTTTTTGCTGGTGGACACTGCCTGGATCTCAGCTCACGCAGCCTGTTGGTTTGGAAAGGTGGTGACTGATGACCCCTGGAGGCCGGGCTTGACCCAGGATGAAGAGCACAGCGAGGCACCCGCATCTCCAGGAGGAGATGGGCTCGGGAAGGCATGCCCAGCCACGGCCACTGTCTGATTACAGCCAGCTGGCCAGCCGAAGTCTGTCCATTCCTGAAGACACTGTGGCTGTGGATCCCCCAGGCGAGGACAGTGTGGATGGGATACCCCCAGCAAGCAAGATCCCCATCCCTACTGGCCTGGACCCCACTGGCCCTGCAAGCAGCCGCAGAGGAGGCCGCAGAAGGCGCCCCATATCAGTGACAGAAGGGGTCAGTTTCTATGGCCCCAGACAGACAGAGGACATCGAAAACCTCCTGACTCAAGTAAGATCTGGTGTGCACCTCCCTTCCACCAAAGACCCTCCAGCTTTCCTGCCTCTGTCCTCCCTACAAACTAAGCCAGAAAGCCTCTCCTTCTTTTTGCTTTTTGGAGGACCACCATCTACTCATCGCCTTTTCCTCCTGCCTAACCACCTGTCATCTGGACGTCTTCTTACTAATCCTCCTCTTTCCTGTCATCTCCAATGAACTGCACCAGTCTGCTCTTCACTTATGACCAGACTATAGTCTTACAGGAGAGGGGAGCCGGCCGTAGTTAGTGAGCTTCCTCAAAGAAGTCATTGTTGAAAAAGAAAAGGGGCTCATGGTTAAAATGTAAAGGTAGAGAAGATGAACATGAAGAAGAAATAGAAGGGCTGGGGATTAGCTCAGTAGTAAGCACTTGCCTTGCATGCTGTGGGTCCACACCCACCATGGCAAAAAAAAGAGAAGAAAGGGTAGGAAATAAATGACTACCTTATCTCCTAAAAGGATCCACTGCGAAGGTGTTTTTGTTGTTTGTTTTGTCATCTCCTCCCCTGCAGGCATGCTAGACAAGTCCTCTGTGCTAAGCTAAGCACCCAGCTGCTTACGCCCCTTACTCTACTTTTGAGTCGCATCTGGTGTGCTGGTTTGTCAGCAAACACTCTTGGTCCCTTGGCATGTTATAGTTAGTAATTGGACAAGGGTTCTCAAGTGCCTGGTGAGCACTTTGAGGCTATAAAACATTTAAATAAAGGCTCTGTCCTGGAGAAGTTTATACTTATTTAGCTCAGCTAATCCCCCGGCCATGGTCAAATTCACAGAACAGAAAGTCTAGGAATAGTTTATATATCCACTTTCACTTTGAAAAACTGCTAAGTGATGTCTTAAGTAACCTGTAAAATTCTCTTCAAAAAGAAATTCTGTATTAGTCTTGGATTGTGTGTTAACATTCTCCCTGCAAAGCCTATCAGTGCTTCATTATAGCAGGCAGTTCTCACTCAAGTGCATCTGGGTTGAATTGCTAAAATAAGCCCAAATTAGGTTGATGAATACCACAAAATCTTCAAGCTTCTTTTGTTGGGAAATAATTCTGAACTAAAGCAAATTATAATCTGTTTTGGCCCAGAATACAGTACAGGAGCAATCTAAAGCACTTAAAGTGCTGTTTCACTTCAGAACATCAAAAACAAAGTGGCTCAAGTGGTAGAACACCTGCCTAACTAGTTCAAGGACCTTAGTTCAACTCCCAGTAACAACAACAACAAAAAAAAGGTGTACTAATTGCTGGTTATGGTGGGGCATACCTGTACATACCCGTAATCCATCACTTGGGAGGCTGAGGCCGGCTTCGGCCTTGAGACACTGTCTCAAGTGTAGTAAAAATAAGAGTGTAATCAAATCATTTCCTATCCTGGAACCTAAATTAGGGAGGTGGATAGAAAAATTAACACCTCCCCCCCCAAAAAAAAACAAACACAGGAAAGCATAATCCAAGTGTGCCTTGGAATCATAGCTGTGGAAAATCAGAAAGGCATTATCTATGATTTCAAATAGACCTAGGTAGTTCCACGGAAAACAAACTGTTTAATCTTTTATTTACTTTTTGCAGTGCTGGGGGATGGAACCCAGGACCTTGCACATGCAAGGCAGGTGTTCTACCACTCAGCTATATCCCCAACCCTGACGACCAACTTTTAAAAATGAAGTCCAACTGTCATTAGTTTCTGTAAGCAGAAATTGTCCTCAAGCCCACAGATCTCGTAGGAGCCCCTCTGAGCAGGCTGCCGGGAGAGTAAGCTGAGGCTGAGTGAGTGGCTGAGGACAGCCCTGTCACCAAGGCTGTGGTCTGTGGCAGGCCTTCCTTCCTCCAGAGCTGCTCCAGCAAGGCGTTCACCCCAGCTGTAGCCATGCAGGAGCCCACCGCTTCCTAAACCTGACTTCTCCTCAGAGCTTCCCGTTCGCTCACTCTTCCCCACTGACATGCCGCCCTCCAGTGACATACGCTGTGACTGTGAGCCAGTGAGTTGATGATTGCCACTGAGCCTGGCCTAGCCTGCAGCTCTTGGTAGGGTCCGTAAGTGGCTTTGAGGTGAGAAGGCAGTACATGCTGCTGGTGCTCGCGGGAGCTTACACTTCCTGGCTCCTTCTCACAAGTTTTTGTTTCCTTTCACAGCCAGCAGCAAGGCCTCCTGTGCCTGCGCACCAGGTGCCACCCTACAAGGCCGTGTCGGCCAGGCTCCGGCCCTTCACGTTTTCCCAGAGCACCCCCATTGGGCTGGACTGTGTAGGACGCCGGCGGCAGATGAGAGCATCCAACGGTGAGTCTTGGGGGCTCCTGGGCCCTGTGTGTGGCTGCTGCCCGAGGCACCTGGGTGACTCGTACCTGCACTTTCCTCCTGTCACTAGGCCAGGTCGGTGCTTGCCCAGGGCAGGGAAGCTCCTCTCAGGAGGGATGTGTTGTCAGCTCTCATAGTGGGTGTTCTTTGAGTCCAGATGACTGAATTTGGGATCTTGCCCCTCTGCTGGTGTGTACGTATCAAGTTTCTTTAGGGCCATCCCAGTAAGAATAAGGCCAGGCTGGAAATCTGAGAACCGAGTGCAGCCAACTTGGTTTCTTCTGAGGCTGTGCTGGAGACTCGGCCCCAGGCCTCACCCAGCTTCTGAGAGCCTCACCTTCCTTGGCTTGTACAGCATCCATATTCTCCACCTCTGTGCTCATGGCTTTTGGCCTACATGTGTGTCTGTTCCTCTCTGTGTCCAGATTTCTCCCTTTTATAAGGATGCCAAGTTTACAGGATTTGGGTCCACCCTAATGACTTTGTTATCTTGATCATCTACAAATACAGTTATGCCAAATAAGATCATATTTATGGGGCCTGGGCATGAGGACTTCATGAGCTTTTGGGGGACGTAATCCAACCAAAATCTTCCATGATTTACCAGTGTACACATGAGATCAAAGATTTACAAAGAATGCGGGGAAGGAGAACTAGTATTGTGAGGGTATTAGGAAGGTCAAGGATTTCTTCTCCAGCCCTACACATAGGCAACAGCCTATTTCATGCTTTCTGGAGTGTTGTTTATGGTTTTGTTTTTTTAGCTTAGTTGAACTTTTTCTCAAAATAATAATGTGTTAGCTTTCTGTTTCTGTGATAAAATACCTGGGAAAATCAATGTAAAGAAGGAAAGGTTTATTTTGGCTCACAGTTTTGGAGTTTCAGACTCTGATTGGTTGGCCTGTTGTTTTTGAGCTGATGGAGAACAGCCCATCACATCAGGGAGCACACAGCAGACCAAAGCTGCCTACCTCATGATGGCTGAGAATCAAAGACACCTGTTCTGTTTAAAAAAAGTTTTTTGGTTATATTATTCTTTTATTGAAATCAACAAAAAGGAGCTCTGGATAGCGTAAGAAAAGGGGGAAGTATTGGAAAGTGTCAGGACATGGATGGTGTTATTGTTTGATTATCTAGTGTCTCCACAGAAGGCTCATGTGTTGGGCTTGGTGCTTCAGAGGTGTGGGACATTGCTGGAAGAAGAGGTGTCCAGGAGCAGACCTTTGGGGTGTCTGTTCCTGGCCCCTTCCTGTTTTGTGTTCTGCTTTCTATTTGCCAACAAGTGAACAGTTCCTGATGTTGTGGTCCAAGTGCCTAGGCCAAGCAGCCATGAACTGAATCTTCTGAAACTGTGAGCCAAAGGAAATCTTTCCTCCTTTAAGCTGTTTGTCAGGTCACAGCGATGATACAAGTAGCTAATATAGATGGCCACTAGGATTGTTCCCGAGACCCAAGGAACAAGAAGAAGTCAGGTAGTAGAAGATTGGCCATGATGCCAGCAGGGGAAAGGTGAAAGCCAGCCTGTCCTGTGTTACTCTCCCAAGAGTTGGGGTCCCAGGATGGAGGATTTGGGTCCCCAAGCTAGGGACCTGTCCAGTACCTAGTGGCGCTGGACGGGGAGAAGGACTGGGGCCTCTGAGACCCCTGCCTTCTGTGTTCCGGGCAGGTCTTTGGGCTTCGTGTTGCTGAGGCTGAGAACAGGTTTTGGACAGGTCCTGCCTCTGTCCACTCACTCACTGACTCACTACCCATCGAGTGACAACAATTAGCAAAACAAACCCTTTCAGTCACTTACAGGACAGGAGAATGGATTAAGAAGCAAGTATTTAATTGGGCAGGTAGTGCTAGAGATGAAAAGACAGCAGCAGGGAGGATATCCATTTCCACACAAGCACCCTCCCCCCACTGCACATCCTCCCTAGAACCCAGAGGCTCATCAGTTACAGCAGGTCCAGGACCCTGAGTACTAACTCTTCTCTAGTTCTCTCACAGTGCCTTTTCGGTGTATCTTTTCCTTTCTTTTTTGGTAGGACCGAGTGTGAAGTCAGGCCCTTGTGGTTCTTGGGCATGTGCTCTACCACTTGAGCCACACCCCCAGCCCACCTTTTCAGTGTTTCTCACTGGAGCAGCACTGCACCAGAATGGGAAGTGGGTGGGGGAAAGGCACAGAAGACACACAATATAGCATGTGGGAACCCATGACATCATGAAAGGGAGCTTCATTTTTTCCTCTGGCTGGTTGTGACTGTGCACACATTCTTCCCACTCCTGATCCCCCACCTCTCAGAGCCTTTTCTGGTGGCAAGAGGAGGTGGTCCTCCTTGTCTAGAGTTGCCACTGGCTCCTCTCCTCCTTACTATTAGTCAAAAATTGGTTCACCAACAAAAATGTGTGGAGCATCAACTCTGAGCTAGGTACTGTTTTTATCATTTGGGATAAAACCAAGAATAAATCATTAGAGTCCTGACATGCAGGACACACCTGTAATCCCAGCACAGAGATGCTGAGGCAGGAGGATCACAAGTTGAGGGCCATTCTGGGCTATATATAGTGAGATCCTTCCTCAACAAAGCAAAAAGAAAGCATTTCAAAAAGTATACAGGTGGCCCTCTATATTTGGGGGTTCTGCATCCACAAATTCAAGTAGGCACAGATAGAAAAGATTTGGAAAATACTGCATCCTCACTGAAAATGTACACAACCCCGCCCCATGCTGGGGATGGAACCCAGGGCCTTGTGCATGAGAGGCTACACTCCCTTCTTGTCTTACTCACTAAACAATGCAGTATAACAACTATTTACATGGTATTTACATGGTGCTAGGTACTGTCAGTCATCTAGAAATGATTTTGAGTATGCAGGAGGAAGTGTATCCCATGCCATTTTATAGAAAGGTCTCAGGCATCCAAGGATTTTGGAATCCATCGTGTCCTGGAACCAGTCCCCAGATCATACAGAGGGGGGTCTGCACATGCCAGCATTTCAACAAGTACTTCTTCATAAAATAGGATTCCCTAAGGCATGAGTAGTGGTTCTGGGAAGAGGAACGTGGGTGCTTCTCTCTAGAAGGTAGAAGCAGGAGGTGACACAAGAGAGGGCTTGAGCAATGAGTAAAGACAGCAAGGCAAAGCTCTGAAGGAGGAGTGGTCCCAGCAGGTTTATCAGATGTGCAAAGACAGGCAGGAGCTTGGTATATCTGAGCTTCAGCAAGGAGGCAGAAAGATTGGAGTTCAGGGAGTGAGAGACAGAAGACGAGGTTGCAGTCAGTGGGCCTTGGCTAGACAGAGGGCATCTCAGGCCAGCAGCTGGTTACTGTGAGTACAGTGGAAATGGGCTGCCAGGGGAGGGTGGTAGGTTCTGATTTGTGCTTCAGGGGAGGCAAAGCAAAAGAAGGGACATGATGTGGAGGCTACTGCATGAGTACCACTGAGAACCCATGGTGGCAGTGACCACAAAGGCCATCACATTTTCCTTGGGTGCTCATCTCCCCAAGTTCCAGCCTGGGTTCTGACTCAGTGGGACCAGGGTTGGGAATTCCACTTGGGGGACTAAACTCAAGTTTACACAGAGCAGAGTTGCTGGAGGGGAGGAAAATGTTCTGCAGATGTGTCATGAAGTAACCAAAGAAACTACTTCTGTGTTTACTTATGGTTTCCGGCTATGGTGAACATTCCCCGGTGGTGACATTAGTCACAGGTTCAGAGCATGTGCCCCTCCTGGGCAGCAAGGCAGCACCAAGGCGAGTTTATAGGCTGCCTAGAACCTGCATGACATTCAGCTACTGTTGGGTGGGAGGAGTCTTTGGGGAGTTCTGGGGAGGAGCAGTGCTATGTGGGAGGCCACAACAGCCCAGGTGCCTTCATGAGACCCAGCCCCTCTGAGGAAAAGGGCCACTGCAGTCAGCTTTCCACAAGTACCTGCCTGGTTCCTACAAAGAACCCAGTCATTAACTTTATTAATGTGGTTTTTAGCCCAGGATGCACATCCGTATCTGCCACCATAACCCTTTTTTTCCTGTTTTGTTTTGTTTTGGTTTGGTTTTCTTGGCAATACTGGGGATTGAACTCAGGAGTGTTGCTAGGCAAGCACTACCACTTGAGCCACACCCTAGATCTTGGGTTTGTTTTTTTTTTTTTTAGCTTAATGAGTCCACTATTGAGCCACTTGTCAAGATGAAGAGCAAAGATCAACTGGTGTCTGCTTGGTGGGGCATTGTGTCTGCATGATTATTATATAAGGAGTCACAGGGGACATTTATCTTCTCATGCTTTGACAGTCTTCTGATATACTCAGTCACACCCCGACCCCAAACCAATGCTTAACCCATTTTCTTTCTACATTCTTCCAAGCCATTCAGTCAAGCCTTCAGCTCCCAAACATGTGTCCACACCAGCTAAGCCCTCCTTGAGGCCATGCCTCCTCTAATCACAAAGGATTAGGAAGGGCATTGCACACATTTTTCCTGTTCGGGGGGTTTCCTGTCTTGGGGACACAGTTACCAGGTAAGTGATGGAAGGTCCCTTTGCTAGGAAGAAGACTAAAAGTAGTAGGATGCCTACCTAAGGTTACCTGGTTCCACTTCATACAGAGGCCCTGAGTTTCTCTGTCATGCTGGCTCAGGCCAGACCATGCTTTCCTGCTACACAGATCAAGCAGTGCCATAATAGAGTTACTCCTCAGTTTTGCTCCTAGATACTCCAGAACCTGTCAGACCCAACCAGAGATCATTCTGTCACCCAAGCTGGCCCTGCTGCCTGTGACAGTCACTGCCCATCATCCCCATGACAGGTGCCCTACCTGCATGGGGGTCCAGGTCTTCTTGCCACAGAGGCATCTATGACCTAGAGCTCAGCAGTGTATCACTTCTAGATGTTGCCACCACTTTCCTCTTCTGGCTTGGGAGACAGAGTCAGGGAGTGTGGGGCTCACATGATGGACTGTTCCCAGTGTTTATCTACCAAGGTTTCTTTTTAGATGCTAAGGAGAGTTTGATTATGTATAACCAAAGTGCCAGAAGGATGGTCAGCTCCATGAGCCCACAAATGGAATGAAGAATTTCCTACGGGTGACACCCAAGTGATACCAACTTAATCCAAGTTATGTTTGTCAATGTAATGTGTGAATCTTGTTTGGCTCCTCATACCAGCAAACCAGTTATGTATATAACTATACATATGTGTGTGTGTGTGTGTGTGTGTGTGTGTGTGTGTGTGTGTGTGTGTGTGTATAAAGGACATTTTGGGCAAGAGGTATGGTTCAATGGTAAAGTGCTTGCTTAGCAGGCTCAAAGCCCTCAGTTTAAACCCCAGTACCAACACACACACACACACACACACACACACACACAAGAGCAGCTGGCAGAGTGGCTCAAGTAGTAGAGTTCGTGCCTAGCAAGTATGAGGCCCTGAGTTCAAACCTCAATGTTGAAAAAAAATTTTTGAAGCTGTGCATT